ACTCTGCCCCCAAACAGCGATTATCCAATCATAACTTAATGTCCGTAACTAGGCATGGAAGGCCTGTCAAGCTCTGTATTTCTTTGATTTGTGTCTTTTACTAGCCTTTCCAAAACCAAAAATACAAATAAAAGTGTAAGGAATAGATTAAGCTGCGTGTTTATCTGCTTTAATATAAGCTGAAAGTGTTTGAATGCCAAATTTACAAGATTACTACCTACAGTAGTAACCTACTTCCAAAGGTAAGGGGCCTGTTATTAGCTGGCTGCATTATTTTAGGAGGTTTAGAGTAAACGTAGCGATGCCGTTCAATGCTGTATTTGGTCCAAGCTTACACTACACCCGGCAAAACTTGTATTAGATAGTGTTAAATTTGCCAGACGTTTCAATTAGTCTTCCTCAAATCCTTTCCTATGTAAAAGTGTACTGTTTGAAAATACAAACATAAAAGCCTAAATCTGACCATGTGTTGCTTGTCCAAGTATTATGTTGGAATGACATGAAGCTTTAGCCTCATGGACAAAGCCTCCAGATGCATATTTAAGACTCATTTCAGGGTTCAGAGTCTGTTGGAAACATATAAAAATTAATTCTCATCCAAATCGCATTTCACTCTGGCTAGTTATAGCAGTTGTCATTTCAGCCGGCAACGTCGGCGGTCGTTAGCTAGAAATGGGAGGTCTGTTTTTGTTCTTCTGTCTGAAATATTATAATATACAGTCAATTGGATAGATAGGAAGTCACACTTTAAACGCCCAGTGTGTAGGATTTAGTGGCATCTAGCAATGTAGTTACTGATTTCAACACAAACGCCTCACCCTCCTGTTCCAAGCCTGTAGGAGAAACTACGGTGGCTGTGAAAGGCCCTATCTAGAGCCAGTGTTTGGTTTGGCCTCCATAGAAAAAGAAAACAAGTCTTATTTTGAGATGATTATACACTAATAAAAACATACCTATGAGTATTATATTCCCTTTCTGTGGTTATATCTGCTGAATCCTTGTTTACAGTTTCATTAGCGAATAGAGAGCTCCCTGGCCTGCCCTGCCCTATATAGGCTGTGGCCGAGAGCTGCTACACAGTGTGACAGAGGCTGGCTGTGCTCCACTTAGATGTTAAAGGGCATGTTAACATTTTCAATTCATGTTGTTTTTCCTCAGAAAGCACCGCATATTGTTCTCATAAACCCGAGTGGAGGAAACGTCCTGGGGTCTCCCTCCTCCACCCTCCTCTCTGAGAGGCGAAAACACAATTTGGAAAGAGGAGAATTACATTTCAAACAGGCAATATCAGCAAGCAGTGACATATTTCTGCCTTTAAGTCTGCATTTCCTATCCACAGTTAAGTGCCCTCAGGTATAGGGAAAATAGCATTTCCGATATTGTGTTTATTCTTATGTAAATCAAACACAACATTTGTTGTGGATTCAGTGGAGCTGATGGCCCTAATATAATCTCAAAGAAAAAATAAAAGACCAAAAATAGATGACATTAATATTATTTATATCACTGTATTGCAGCGATATCTATTTATGACAAAAGATTAATGCCAATTAAAGGCAACCAAAAAGACAGCTGCGTAATTCAGAGGTGGATAAATATTTAATTTTAATAAATAGCTATGAATAAATAGAATAAACAGGAGCTGATAAACAGCAGTGAAATTAAATTGACAAATATTATGAAATGATTCAAGCACAACGTCCTGTAAACTGACATCTGTATAGCAATTTTGCTTAATTAGGAAGAAAGGAAAGACAAAGACAACCTACCACAGTAATGTTTTGTCATTATGACAAGTTGACACCACAAAGACGTCAGAATTACAGAAACAAGCACCTTAGAAAACCTATTTATTTAGATTTTGATCTGCCAGAGACAATGTGGGAAAACCAAATCACAAGATGGAATTTTCTGTTCTCCAAAGTGTGTATTCTCACACCTTCACCATACTCTTCTCTTAAAACTCCACCTCTCTTTCTCACATATACACACACACACACACACACTCAGGCAGTCACACTTCCCTCCTCTCCATACTGTTCTAACACCTCTCAGCGGTTATGATCTTCATGGCACTTTTATAAATCTGCCTCACTGAGCCGAGCAGCCGTTTGCACTTCACTCCTTCTTGGTGCCGATGGGGGAGACGAACACAAACGTGATATGTACATTGGATTATTACGTACAGAAAGAGGAAGAAAAATGTATAACTACGTTTCTTACAATGCATTTGGAAGTATTCTTATCATTTATGTTCAAAAACAATCCTTTGCATGCGTTTAAATGATTGATTACACTGATTTGTGGCAGCAGGCCTTTGACTTGTTAGGAAAAGTGCATTAATAATGGCTCTGTTCCATTCAAGTGCCCCAGTAAGCTGTGTGACAGTGAGTTTAAAAGCACAATACCAGGATCCTGGAAATAGAATTCAGCCCTCATTCATTATATTATTCACACCTGTGTTTTTCCTACTTTCATGTGTCAAAATGTCAGTGAAAAAGGACCTTTAGCTCCAGAAAATATGCAAAAGATTGTAAAGGTTACCGACTATTAAGTCACATAAGCGTAGAAATATTTCTTTTTGTATGTTTATTTTGATTTTCTGGTTTTCTTGGTGTTATTATGTTATATTACTGCCATTAGTTTAGATTAATTTTACAGCACATCCATCTACATGACAGAGACCGAGCAGTTCGCACACACACACACACACACACACACACAGACACAAAGTAGCAGGAGGATAAATAATAGCCCTCTTGAGATGCACACTCAAAGCATGTGTCTTTCCTTGGCAATTCTACTATTACATTTAAAACATTTCTCTGCAAAACAAAACCATGACTGACTGACTGATTAATTAAGATGTCTGTGTTAGAAGGTTACTTGATACGCATACTGTAACTCACACCTGCATGTTGTGAAGAGCAATAAAAGTCCAGCACAGGACTTGTGATACAGTCCGTGTTCATGGCTCAGTCTATAAACTGGGATGAAAAACGCAGCAGTGCCACAAATAAAACAGTTAAAACATCTATAATATCCCCACATTTACAAAGCAGCATGCTGTACTGTGTGTTTGAACGTGTGTGTGTTTCCTGAAATCTGTGATGAGTCAAATGAAACAGAGTGTGAGGGGTCAGGGCAGAGCTCGCTCTGGAGGTCCATCAGGCCTCGCTGTCGCTGCTTTATACTCCCTCGGGGACAGAAGGGGTGGTTTCTACCTGACTAAAAATACTGAAAATGTGAGTGCATGTACGTGTGTGTGTGTGTGTGCATGTTCGCATGGGCGGTCAAACATGATTGTGTGTCCCCAGACAGGACATCCATCTCTGTTTTTTGCTGTGTGTGTGTGGCCTCTGAGCACCGCTTCTAGAGGATTCTTCAGTGGGCCGAAGAGTGTGTCAGCAACTGTCTGCAAGCGCACTGCCATAAATTTATACACTCCGCTCTTCACTGGATGGAAGTCAAATAGTAATATGACAGCAAGGGAGAGAGACTGGGGAGGAGAACAAAAAAAATATATATATAGAAAGGGGACAATAAGCTGTGCACAAACAACAGAGTGCTCAAGGACATTTCTTAGCAAAGACTACATTGAGCTGTGAGGTGGTGTAGTTCAATAAACATAGACTCATGTTTAAATGGATAAGAGAGGGGAGGGGAGAGAATAGACCTGTCTGAGATACATGCACATTAGCATTTAACCCCCTTGCACATCACAAGACCGTGCTCTTACTCTGTCAGCAGCTATAACTCAATAATCAATCACATTTGACGCAACCCTTGGAAACACTGGGATTGAGAGCGAGCAGTCAGGCGAAGTGTGTGAAGACAAATCCTCTGAGCAAACTCTGCAATGTCCAAAAAAAAAAAACAATTTGAGGTTTTTTTTGTTGCTTTACTCACGTCCCAGAAACTAGCCACTGTAATGCTCATTTCATGGCTGAGAACGCAGCCCTTTTAGCCACTTATGAGGACTTAAACTGAGCTTCTGAGGGTGCGATGATAACTATCTCATCCACTGTTCCTTCAATCCAGTGTTCTGGTCCTATAGGGACTCTGTCTGCTTTTACACTGGCTGACAGAAGCAGGTCACTCAGTCAACACTGTTGCCATAAATCCACTGCTATGCCCAGAAACGAGAAAACAAAGCCTCCAGCTTCAGAGGCCACAACAATTACACTAAACACTGCACCGGCTGACAATAACAAAACACTCAAAAGCTCCTCAGACCATGACTGCCAGAGACCTGCACAATTATTTTCCACTTCTGAACTCAGAAATATTTCATAAACAAAATTTGTGTGTGTGTGTAAACCAGTAAAGAATCCATGTGTGAGTGAGTGTGTATGTGAAATTTGGGGGGTGGGACTTAAAGCAAAAACCCTGTTGACTAACAGAGCTGATCAATATGAAAGCCTAACAGTAATTAGGCTGCACTGGTTTAATTTCTCATCAGTGCGTATACTGTAATAACAGCCAGTCAGCAGACTCGGTGTGTGTTTCTGTGTGAAGTCTGTCCGTCTGTCTGCTCACACACTGTACAGCAGCACCAAACACAGACAAAAACACACACATTTGATCCACGGCGCAGGCCTGTTTGGTGAAACGAGCGCCATCCTCGACCAGAATAAGGAGAAAACCGCAGGCTGTGGCATGACGCCTAAACGGACACACCCCCTCCGGGCTGTGGCATCGAACCAGCGACACTGTGATAAACAAACGGCGGCTGCTCCCGGCTGCAATATAATGATTATAGTTACTGATCCTGGTGGACTGAACCCATCATTACGACTCGGAAGAACATTTGACCAACACACCAGGCCTGAGCAGTGGGGTTTGTGCTTTGTCCACCTCAGTGCAGACTGACAGATGACTGCACAAATTACATCTTAATCAAACCAGCTACACACAAACACACACACACACAGTCCTCCCCGCCTCCTAAAACCCGCGCGGCGGTGCGCTCCTGGTCTCATGTGTTCCCAATATCTCACCTTGCTTGACACATTTGAGGCGGACCGGGTCTTTGCAGTGTTTGATCACGGCCAGCACGTCCCGGGTGGTGAGCCCGGCCACTGGCATGTTGTTGACCTCAAGCAGCAGCTCATCCTGGGCCAGTTTGCCGCTCTGGATCAGTCCCTTCCCCTGCTTCACCTCGCCGAAGTAAGGGAACTGGCCGTTCTCCGCGCCCCCCTTCAGCTCGAACCCCAGCTCCCCTTCCTTCCCCCGGGTTATCACCGCTTCGTGGACTTTGTTGGTCCAGTGGTTTTTCTTCTTGAGGCTCTTAGACATCGTTAGGGCGAGTTAATCACCGCAGGCTGGCCCATAGAAAAGCCTCCTACCGTCTCATCCCCTGCCTTTGTGCGATCGGCTGCAGCTTCACATCATCACCGGTGCACGCCACGCGCAGTGTCCGGTCGGCGAGCCGCGCAGTCGGGCAGAGGGCTGCAGTACAGCGCGGCGGCGGATGAAATGATTATTACTCTGTCAGACACATAGACGCACAGAGACAGATACTGGCGGATGACCCGGATGTGAAGCCTGAAGGAGGGGAGAGCAGAATGGTTCTGGTTCGGCGTAAAAAAGGATGGAGAGGAGGGGAAGTAACACAGGAGGCGTTTCACTCCCACTACACTGCCAGGGGCGCTTCCTCAGGCTCTCTGTGATCACACACTGCCGATAACATGTAGGAGGAACATCAGTTTATACGTTATATACAAACCTCACCCTGTATGGTTCTACCTGCGACCGTGTTTGCTCCATTTTGGGGATAAAACAGCTTTAAGGCGTTTTTGCTTAGCATGCAGAATCCTGTAAAATGTTTATTTATAGAGGAGCAAAGACTTTATGAGAGTAGCAGTCTTCTGATGATATGCAGTGCAGGTTTTCATGTATTTAAAGTTGGAGTAAATGGGCAACAGCCCTGGGGCCCCAGACCCTCAGGGGTCCCAAAGGCTTCAGGTTGGTTCACCATGTGGAAGTTAGTTTACTGTAAATGAATCGCAAGTAAATACTGCGTGGACAACTTAGGCTCATTATAAACTGAAATAATACAGGAACACATAACTACTTTTTCTTAAAGGCACATCTTGTTGAGGGGATTCAAAATCTAGTTTTAAAGCCTTTATTATTTTAGTATTTTGTGCATTTTACTAAACAAATTTGTGATTAATACACACACAATTCACAGAGTAACCCTAAAACAAGAACATAACTGGATAACTTTCCAAAACCTCATTTGTCCAATGGCAACTTTTTTTTAAAGGTTAAAGGTTTGTAACATTTAGAAGGATCTATTGGCATTAAATGAATATAATATTATATGTTTTCATTAGAGTACAATCACCTAAATAAAGGAATCTATCTATTTATATAATATAATATAATTTATATATTTATATCTATGCCTCCGGTTGCCTTCACTGGAGTCTGCCAC